AATGTTCATTGAGTTTGAACATTTTATTGAATTTTTGCCCACACTGACTGCATTCATAGGTCTTATCTAGTATATCAATGGTCTGGTGCTCACAGAGCAAAGACTTCTCAATGAAGGTTGTCCCACATTTATCACCTGTGTGTGGTTTCTCAGTTTCATCAGATTCCTGATGCTGAATCCACTGTGACTTCATGCACCTGGATTGTTCACACTCAGGGAATTTCACGTCTGTACAAAATTGCTTTTGTTCAACATGGAGAAAAGTTTTCTCATCTCCACTGAGCACACCTGACTTCTTTATTTTGTTGTGTCTGTTCTGATTTAATTTCAGAATGATTAAATCTGATTCTACAATTTCTTCATGAAAGCCAAACATCTCATAATTTTCCTTTGGAGGAAAATTATTTTTGTGCTGAGAAACGATACTTTCCAATGTATTAAATTTATAGCATTGTTCTGTTCTGTCCATGCATCTTTCACACTGCAAGTGCTCAAGCAAATGATCATCATCTTTCTGGATTTCTATAAAAGAACAGAACATTGACTCTTTTCAACATCTTGATTTACAATGGGCCGCTTAAAATATGCATTGATACAAAATAGATCTTTAGTGACAACCCCCTTATATGAAAATAAATAAAACACTAATCTTAATGTTTATTGCCCATTGGAAGAATACAATCGTGTAAATAATCCAAATGGAAAAAATAGTTATTGTAGAAATCAGGTTGGATATGAAACTGATGAATGATCACAGATTTGGTATTTGCTTAAAGAGTGACATGAAAATATACAACAAGTATAATACAAGGAAGACACTGAGAGCAGTAGATTGCAGGGAGATAGGCTTGTTAAATTTAGAGGTCAGATGTAGTCACTCCATCAATCTTTACTGAAAGACAACTAAGTACTAGATAAAGTTGGGAATGTGAAAAATGCAGAATATTCTACTTGGGAGAAAACCATTTAAACAGATATATATGAAAGGTATTATGGTACACAAACATATTCTGTATGTTTATGGAGCCAGTATTCTAGCTTACACCACCCATCTTTCAGTGTTGTCCTGTGGTGGCTTGCATGTTGTTGTGATGCCAGAAGCAATGCCATCCAGTGTTTCAAATACAAGCAGGATCACCCATGGTGCACAAGTCTTAGTGGAATCTCCAGAAATAGGGACTGGGAGGAAGACCTGGTGATCTACTTTTGGAACAGGAACCCCTCAGGTTTAATGGCAATGAAATAACACTGAACAAGTACTAAATCCCCAAAGTACAGTCAACAGTGAAGATGTGGATGGAGGAAGAGCTTTGGGGACCTTGAGTGCTTGACATGACATGACTGAAAATAGCTGCAAACATCATCTAATACTTGGAAGACAGAATATATGAAGTATTATCAAGAAAAAAAATGCAATTTGTCAAAACAAAATAGAATGTTTAAAAATTGATAGTGTATGAATTATTCAACTTTAATAAGACTGGTACTGGCTATTTTTAATTAGCTATCAAGTGGTTTATAAGGCTGAGGCTGACAAATTCAAGAACATTCGCATCATATTCATTACCAAAAAGTACATTGCAAGATCTTCCCTGAAGTACCATTCTGTGAGTCGTAGGTTAATATTCATATGCCTGCAAGTAAGACCAGTTACTACACGTGTTATTTAGATTTGTGCACCCACTGTTTAAGCAAACATAAAGTGTGGGATCGAGTCCCACAGTTGAAAGGGCCCTTAGAAATAGCGCATGCAATTAAGGTAGATAAAGCAGAGTAGCTTCATTTCGGAAGCTGGAATAAGATAGCGAGGTCATTTAACAGTGAGTTTATATAGGAGCAAGGTGTGGAAGCCTCCAGAAGGCACAGGCACAACAGAATGGACAAGTGTGAATGTGGGAATACCCTGAATTCTTTTAGAACATTTCATGATAAGTATCAGGCTGTGGGAAACTGAGGACCAAGAAGGGAGTGGGTGCAGACAAATTCTTTAGTCTCAGAATTGAAGAAGATTGCAAGGCCAGGTATCTGGATGGAGGAAGGCATTCACAATTGTAAGTTGGAGAAGGGCCCTAGTTATATTCTCCTAATTAAAAATCATCCACATAATATCCTCTCATTATTGTGCTACCTTAATGATGCCTCATACAAGCACATGGCTAATTACTATCTGCCAGCAGCTTTAACTACAAGAGCAGACATGTTGTTATTGTTCTCCCTGCTCAAGGGCCAGTTACTCCCCTCCACCTGCCCTTAGCCTCATCAGCACTGTTCTTAAGTTGCTCACCCAATTAGTTCAGGGACCTCCAGGGTAAAGATAATACCTACCTTGTTACTTAGGTACCCTGTTTCCCTGAAAATAAGACAGTGTCTTATATTAATTTTGCTCCCAAAGATGTGCTAGGTCTTATTTTCAGGGCATGTCTTATTTTTCCATGAAGAATATGGTGCACATTTATTGTTGATTGTTTTATTAAAAGAGACCTGCACTTCCTGTCTGCTCCGGCAGTGCTGCGGCCAACAGTGAGCTGTGTGGCGGCACCCACTGCTATGGTCCAGAGTCCAGAGTTACAGTAGCTTCGGGGGGCCTTATTTTCAGGGGGGGGTGCCTTATATTTCAGCGAGAGGCAAAACTGTAAGTAGGTCTTATTTTCGGGGGATGTCTTACTTTCGGGGAAACAGGGTAGGTATCTGAGTGTGTGTGTGTGGGGGGGGGAGGCAGCTGCATGCCCTGAGACTATATAAATTGGTGAAAGAATAAAAAGCCTTTCTATGTCTGCCCTTCAATTACACAACCATCCCTTAGGACCCATCCAGAGGGCATTTAAGTGACGAAGTGATAGTTGATTCCCTGAGTGATAGCAACAAAGGGAACCTGATTGCTTTTAAAGCTAGGCATCTTTTAGCTGAGTAGCAAGAAGTCAGGCGCCTGGCGGAGCTGTACACTAACATCTTACTGGAGGGCAGTTGTGGAGAAAACTAGTACTGGTCCTCCAAGCCCTGTGGGCAGGAGTACAGAGATAAGGCAGCTTACACTTTGATCCAGGTTCTGTTTCCACAATAAAGAAATTGAGGGTGGGGAGGGAGGGGATAAAGCAGAGCTGATATCAAGGAATTCAAGAAGAAAATGTTTTGAAACTGTGGTAGCAATAGTACAAAACTGCTCGATGTGATTGAACTATGGAATGTTATGAATCTGTAAGAGCTCCCAATAAAATATATATACAATGTCATATAACTTTTGCAGCCTGACATTGGTCAACCATACAGTCATGTACACTGATGAATGTAAAATTTTGGAACAGTATCAGTAGTTGGAAAATGTGGCCTTACTGACAGAAATGACGCATAAGTTTACTATAAAATTTTGAGATACATGATGAATTCACAGCAAATTCCTTATTAAACAACAGAAATGGAAACCATACACATGGATCTTTCTGAATGGAACAAACAAAAATCAAATCAACCACATCTACAGAAAGAAAGGAGGGGGAAGCTCATTAGTCAAAACAAGGTAAGACTGATGACTAGAGACTAATGACTGAGACAAGATGAGTTGTGGGATGACACCAAGGACATCATCATACACATGGAAATGAAAAGACCACTCAAAAGAGAGGAAATAAGGGAGAGAGCAATATTGAACATACTGTGCACTATCTGAATAACAACAACAACAAATCTGTTGGAACATACAGCCACAATGTTCTGTAGAAGCAGCAAAGGCCATCTTTCAGGCTCTGGGTCTGTTAAGAAGGGGTAGGTCTAAGGAAGGCATAGTGCATAGTAAGGAATACATAGCAGACATGCATTTAATAAGAAAAACCAAGAATGCAGGATGTTAAAAATCCCCTTTCCACTTACAAAATTATTGGAATAACAGACACATTTTTTAAAAAATTGGAGGTACAGTGCTAAAGTATATCCTAAACTAATAACAATTTTCTTGCTAGAAAGATGCTTTTAGATACTTGAAAATAACAAAAGTCATAAATGTGCTTCACCAAAAGGAGTAAAATATGGAGAAATATTTCTGTTAAAGAATTCCAACAGAGAAGGCAATTTGACCATCTCTATTAGAAAACAGAAAGAACTTATTTCACTGGAATGAAGAAAACTTTAAAGGAACAGGAGAACAAATGAGAAAATGGACACCAAATCATTTAGAGGAACTCCAAGGGGGAAGCTAAGGAAGCACAAAGGAGACCCGTTTATGGTGAGAGTTCAAGACCCCAGATAGTGTTGCATACTACAAAGGGAAATCCATTCTTACTCAGTAGGGGAGGAATGTGCTGTATTCAGAGGACAGTTACAAATTCAGAGTTCTCTGTCTGGAGAGAGGCTTGCAAGACGGATTTTCATAGTAAGGTAGAAGCATATAAAAGGGGAAGTTTTGAGAATCTTTAAAAGGAAGAAAATTATGGAAGCAAACATACAATAGTATGAATCAAATAAATGGAAATCTAATCTCATAAGAGCTACAGGAGTACTTCTGTCAACTTCCAGGAAAAGTGAACTCTCACATTCGAAGAAGCACACACTTTTATGCATTTTCTGACACCTACCATGGATGTGAGCCCTTCTGCCAGTTGAGTCAATTCCCCCAGCCAATTCCCCTTAAGGTATATTGACCACACACCTGAAAAAAATCCCTCTATAGATTGTTTCTAATACAGACCACAGTTCTCCTTGTTGTAATTGAAAGTTTCTGGGATGTCAACTAGATAACCTGTTTATGAAAAATTACGGAATCTTAGACACACCAAAATTAACCTAAGGTTTGTAAAGACTGCAGAATGTTGTATTTCTAAGAAAATCATGTTCAAAGGAACCAAGTAAAAGGTGTTCTCACAAGAGTAGAAGACCCTACCCACTAACCTAGGACCAGAGAATGCAATGAGAATCTACCTCTTTGAGAACACCACAGACACGGCAAAGATTTTAACACATAAGCTAGGAGAAGTCAACGACCAGGCCAATGACTTGAGAATTCTCCTCACCGATGGAAATCAGGTTGCGATAGTTCTCCAACATCACATCCTGATATAGGGTCTTCTGAGCGGGGTTCAGGAGCTGCCATTCCTCCCGGGTGAACTTTACAGCCACATCGTTGAAGGTCAGTGATTCCTATAGTAAGAGGAGTCTATTTAATGATGTATTTTCCATTTGAAGATTTTTTAAAAATATCTTACAGTAAAGAAAGCAAAATAGTAATAAAAACTGTACATTCCATAATGTGTGGTAAACTGAGGACTTCGTAAAAAGTATTTGACCTTATTTCTACATTCGCAACCATGGGGATGGAAAACTAGCCCTATTTTCAGAAAAATCTCCATTGTTCTGAGAAACAAATGTTTTCATATACACATTCTCCAGACCAAATAATGTGCACCCCCAACAATAGCTGTCCATTAAGGAGCAGTCTGAAAGGAGCTACCATAATAGATGAATCATTTCTGTGCCTGGCTACTTCACTATGCCTGAAGGTTATCTGTAGGTCAGAGCAATCAGGTTCTATAGCCAACCCACCATAAATGTAGCAAATGCCTGGGGAGGGCTCAGGGCAGGTTTAAAGTCAACTAGCACTAGGTCAAGATGGTGACTCACCATCTTGCTTGTTTATTATGTCACCCGCTTATGATATTACCCATTGACTGTATACGCTAATTACATGATGTGCACGCCTTATGGAAAGATCTGTAAGCTCCATAATATACCCATTAGAAAATACACTCACTTTCTCAGTCCTGACATGGGATGAAGAGCCCCTGTTCCCCACTGTCTGCTCTCTGTCTTTAATATTTGCCACAATAGCAATGTCACCCCTGAGGATCATTGTTCGAGTGTTGAGGACCACCGTGCCCCAAAATAATGCACCCACTCATAAAATTAGAATTTTGAATACCAATGAAATTATCTGAATGAGCTAGAAATAGCTCAGATTTATAGTCACACAAAGTAGATAGAAATAGCTCAGATTTATATTCACACAAAGTAGATTTATATCCACACACACTTGTTTATATTAACAAGCAAGTTTACATTACATTGTGAAATGGAATGAGGAGTCCTAGCAGTATCACCATTAGAAGAGGCTCTGTACCTTCAGTGGCATTAGGTACCAGGAACAGTGCAGGTGGGGGAGGGCAAACATACCTCAGCTCTCCCACATATTTTGTCAACTCTTACACAAGTCATTCCTCCTACTCTACTCTTTGTCTGATACCAAATTATACTCTGTTCCTGAAGAAAACTTGTACCGAACAGATCAAAATGGTCTATTAATGAACCAGGTACAACTCGGGATCAGGAAGAAGCAGCTATAACTCAGAACCAAGATCAGAATGTTCATAGGCAATATCTCCCTTCCTGAATGCAAAACAACTTTCTACGCTCTTAAGCCACTTCAGCACAAGCTCCTCTGACAACATAAGGGCAAATTCTTCTCAGCCACCTTCGGACCGTATTGCCTTAACTTTAATTGCAGGGTCCTCTTGAACCTGCCATCTTTGACCACATCCTCTCCAAAGGCCACCCCTAGTTTTGTTGGGTGGACTTCTGGAGTCCTCCTAATCTTGCCTAGGCAGGGAAGGTGCTAGGTTGGCCCAAGAAGCCATCATATCAAGAGGGCGAGAGAGAACTGCCCGCAGGCGTGGTGTGAGAAGAGAGAGACACACATTTGGTTTTGTTAGCCCCTGCAGCCACACAGTTCAGAATGAAGCCATGGATTAGGGATTTGCCAGCTTCCAGAAATTCATGAGCCATTTCCTTGGGTGGCAACTGCGAGCTGCCTGTGTGACCTGACTTGAGAGCTTCCTCCAATCCATGAGCCAACAGCCTGCTGTGTGACCTTCCCATTTGGGTTCCTCAGCCCCTGCAACCTACTATCTGAGCAGATTCAACCACTTCACCTTGTGAGGCAGCGCACTGTTGTCTGACTGAGGATCTGGTTCATCAGCCTTGGCAAACACATCAATGAGGAGAACCCTCCAGACTGATACCTGGTCTGTATATAGATTTGGGACTCACTAGCTTCCACATCTTGAAGAGGGATTTATTTACTTGATGACGAGTTTTGTGAGATGCTGCTGAGCAAATCATGGAACATCTTGAACCTCTACCTCATAGGGACTGGTCTACTGCTGCTCCTGCACAATGCACTGTAATACTCATGGGTCAAGAGCTGCACCAATGGAGAGAATGACCAGGGCAGAAGGGACACAGTGACAGAGCCAATGGTAACAGGTCCAGAAAGGACTTTTCAGCCAAGATATGGGACAGGCAGGCAAGATCAGGAAGAGGATATCCCAAAGTAGCTGAGAGGAGCTTATAAAGATGGAACTAAGAAATGAGCCTACCTTTAGAAGGAAAAATGTCTGCTAGGGGACAGGGAAAATAGGCCTGCCTGAAGAAAAGCAAACGGTTCTTTAATATGAATGCCAATGTGTACCCTATTGAGTCTGATACCAAATTACATTCTGTTACCAAATAAACTTGTGCCTGTGACTCTGGACTGTAATTAGTCCATGGCCACTGCAAAAAATTAATGAGCTGTAGGAGAAGGCTGTGCAAAGATACTGGTGTCAGAACTGGAAAACCGTTGGAGAGTACAGGTATGTTTGAGCTCTGCCTCACACGAATCAGAGCTGATGTTGATGGTTGATTCTCTCTCCTGCATCTATAGTTAGAGGAGGTGAGATGCTGTCAACCATTTTTAAAACACTAATGCTACAAGGACCATTTTACATGCATTAATAAGAATGCTGCTGTTTGGGAAAGTATGTAACATATCACCTTCTGAAAGAAGCATTAAAGAAACACAATCAGACAAAAATCCCATGGAAAACTGAACTCTCTTGAAGAAGTGATCTTATTTCTTCTTAAAAACTATGCAGAGCACATCATTTGAATGATTCTCAGGAGCTGGCGATAGAATAATAAATTATGAGTTGGAAGATAATGTCATCCAGAGTCCTCAGTGATATATTATGTTCAATGTTAATCCTATGATCAATATACTCCTAATCTTCTCCAGCCAAATGTTGAAGTCAGAGTCAAAGTTCATCTCTAACTTCTACGATTTCAAATTTCCGCTTTCCCAATGAACTGAATCAGTGTTATACAGGCTTCTAAAACTCCAGTAGGAAATACAGAAAAGGATAAAACACATCAGAATCACCTGAGCCTTGGTCATTTTCTTTGGTCCTTAGGACACTGCCGGCAACTGGGATGCTCTATGTTTGTCTTGTCTGGATCAGCTCTAATGATGCTCATAAATTTCAGTCTCTCATGAGGACATCCCAAAAATAATAATACCAGCCACTTCTTCCTCCTTCGTCTAAGCTGCTGGCGATGCACCCTCTGCAGGCTGAGGGGAGAATACAACGTGAGCAACACACCACCCATAGTCCCAGATGCTGTTACTGTTCTGTCCTCTTCTTAACACACGAAGTCCCCAATACTGCTAATGGTGCCCTGACTGAGCGATGGGAAGCATGCTCATACCATGAGCAATAAAATCCAAAACGCATAATTTTCAGAATGTGAATAAAAGATGACTTTATAACCAATAGAGATTGGGCAATCAAATATAAATGTCAAAAAGAAGAAACAAAAAAGTTGGATCGCTACCTCACAGCATACAAAACTATCAATTCCTTACTGTGTGATTCTGAAGGAGAATGACAAATCAATGAGCCTTGAAGATGATTATGTTAATTAAAGCATCTGGAAACATTGTACATGGGCTATATAAAGAACTATTATAAACTGAAGATTATTTTATAGAACTATAAATTGTACAATCATTTTAGAAACACTTTAAAACTCACCATCAAGTAGAGCTAGACATATAAGCTGCAAATAAAACACAGGAGAACTGCTGAACAGAGCTTCCGAGACTCTAAAGCCAGGGCAGGAAGCTAATGGGTGTGTACCTCTGACCTTGAGGATAGAAGTCCAACACTTAACACATGTCAAAACCAAGGCTCCATAATAAACACTTATATGACATCTGTTAGATTGAAATTTATATATATTTATTTTGAGATGAAGAAGTATACATCCCCCAATAGTGAGTGCACTTTTGAATCCCAATATAGATAACGTTTTTTAATGTAGCATTATTTGTAGTACCTAATGCAGTCAGATCAGCGGTTCTCAACCTATAGGTCGATACCCCTGGGGTCAAACGACCCTTTCCCAGGGGTCGCCTGATTCATAAGAGTAGCAAAATCACTGTTATGAAGCAACAATGAAAGTAGTTTTATGGTTGGAGGGTCACCACAACTTGAGGAACTGTATTAAAGGGTTGCGGCCTTAGGAAGGTTGAGAATCACTGAGTTAGACAGTTGGCCTATACAAGTATACAGTCTTTCTAGCTATGTCCCCTTAACTTCTTCCAAATTATTTGCGTGGGTTTGTCGCCTGCCACTATGAATAAGGCAAAGGAGCCCGTCACAGTGGTTACTGTTGGGCTGCTAACTCCAAGGTCAGCAGTTGGAAACCACCAATTTCTCCTTGAAAGCAGGATGGGGCTTCCTTCTCCCACGAGTGACATGGCTTTCTACTCCGCTACAGAGTGACAGTGTTGGAAACCCATGGGGGCTGTTCTACCCTGTCATATAGGCTCTCTGTGAGTCGGTGTTAACATGATGGCAGTGAGTGTGTGTTTTTGGTTTAAGAGGACTGGGCAGCTTTCCCAAGACATTGGTACCTTTGTGCCTTGTGGTTACGTAAATCAACTGTCTGAAACCTAAGGATTAGTCACATTGGAAATCATGTTAGAACTAATTGAGCCATTTCAGAGACAGAAACTGGGATCTGACTACCATCAAAAAAGAAGAGCCGGGAGTAGGGGCCTTTGGATCCTGGATTCTTGCATTGAAACTCTTCAATCCAGAAGACAGGGAGCTGGGACCCAAGAGAGGAAGTGATGGGGAGAAGCAGCAACAAAGACATGGTGGCAGCCGAACCAAGAGACTGAGACAGAGCCATGGGATTCCCAGGCCGCAGACCAAGAGTGCTCAGGGCCATTGGGCAGCAGGTGAGGAGGTGAAATGAGGCACATCTGCGTACTTACCTGAGGAACTAGATTTGCTAACCTATATAGAGCTGAGAGTGTTTGGTGTGAGGCTAAGGTGCAGAGTGAGCATTTATCCGCAGAACTAAAAGACCTTTGTAACATTTGCACATTTAGGACAGAAGCCAGGGGGTTGCAGGGCCTGACCTCACCTGCAGGTACGGCTGTCGAGATGCTGTCCCAAAGAACTGTACCTCGAGTCATTTATGATCCTAAATTGTGTGTTAGGGTAGAAAAGTGACCCCTTTGTCAAATATAAATTAAGGAGAACATTTATTTAACTTTAAGAGACAACAAAAGACACACACACATCATATGGATAAGGGAGGCCATTAGCAGGAGGTCAAAATGCAAATGAGGATTCACAGTCGGGACCCTGGATAAATAAGGTATAGTACAAAAGGCATGTCATAGATCATGATTGGTGGCAGACCAATACATCGCAGATACAGGTGGAACTGTAGCAGCAGGAATGGGACCATAATCAGGGCATGCAAATTACTAGATAGACTTACAAGATTGGCCCAGGGCCTTCAAGCTAAGGCAGGCTCATGACAATGGCCCTGTGCTGTCCTCAGTAAGGGGAGCTCCATCAAGCATACATCTAGGCAGGCCCGTGGAGGGGGCTGGCTGGAGAGGCGTGCAGGCAGTCGATTTTCTAAGGCATTCTCCCCAAGGGGAAGATGATCTACATTCTTGGTGAATGATCAGAAAGAATTCAATGGAGGCTTAATCAAAGTGGGGACGCAGCAAATGGACACTGAGTTGTCACTCTCATCAGCAACCCAGACCTAAAACCCAACTTAGTGCCATCGAGTAGATTCTGATTATAGCAACCCTTTAAAAGAAGGTGGAACAGCCCTTTGTGGGTTTCCGGGACTGCAACTCTTTACAAGATTAGAAACCCTGTCTTTCTCCCTAGGGGTGACTTGTAATTCTGAACCACTAACCTTGCAGCTAGCCGTCCAATCTGTATCCACTATGCCACCAGCCTTTTGCAAACTGGAGTGTTCACAATTTAAGTTCTAATACAATTATAAATGGTTACGTAACCAGTGAATTCTATCATTCAGGGAAATGCACAAAGAGCTCGGACCCTGACCATTGGGGCAGCCTGGGTCCTTGTACACTGGTGGTTTCCTGGGTTCAGGAAGCCCAGATCCTTCCTACTTCCCCTAAAGCAACTCCACCCAGCAATGCCCCCAGGAACCCCAGTTGCTCACCCTGTTTGGAGTCAGGTGAATGGATTTGGTTCATAACCCAGTCAGAAGTTGAAATCCTTGTGATGCTTCAATGTGCAAGACAGTAGTAACAGATTTCTAGCTCCCTAGGCTGGACCATATTTCTCTGTGGCAAATCTTCATTCTGAAACAGAAGAGGAGTCAATGTTGAGAAAGGCATGTCAGGTTGCTGGCCTGTACTTCTTCCGCTAAATAGTGACCACCCCCACCCCCACCCCCTGGGATCAAAACCATGCTCCAATCTGAGGGGGGTTGCATTACACAAGAGCCCACTCTTTACAGAGCAATTTTACTAATTTCTCAAATATCATTATCAACTTTGGATCCACATCCTATATATACAATATTTATTTTAGGATAAAGTGTAAGTATTTAAGGCCTCACAATTCTCAAGCTCCATTGAAGGTAAATATTTTCCTTTCACCAGCAATCTAACTGAAGAAAGGAATACTTTATGACGAACGTTCTTTACCAATCCGTACTACACCTCAGACAATAACCGTTGACATATCTGGCTAAAGTGAACAAGCTGAATCATGCTCATATATGCCACTCCAGCCCAGTGTAACCCAAGTTTAACCTGCTCCAATCCCCTTGCATCCTGGGTACTCTTTACAATACCTACTGTGTGTGAAGAAATGCCTATGCTTGGGTAGCCCATTTATACACAATAGTGTGGTAAGTAGAGAAACTTATTGTGGAGGTGGACAAAAAGAGAAGGACACTAATAGGACATCCGAGATGTACCTTGGTCAAGACAGAGATATTCTAAACCAGAAAACAAGCCAAGGGAATCCTTATTTGCTGCTCTCTTAAGCTCTTGTTTACAGATGTCCAATTTTAAAGCCTTTGGGAAAGACTATAGCTTACAGTCAAGGAATGGCAAGGGGTAGGTAGATAGATGATGCTAAGAGCCAAGGTAAAGGCAGACGCTTAAAAGTAAAAGACGGATCCAGGGAAGAGATGACTGATCGATTTTTGCCATCTTGGTCTAAATTCTGGATTCCAAGCTTTCTAGGAAATGCTGACAGTTGGCAAACACCACACACCGTAGGAGAGGGGTTATTGGCTTGGGTTCTAAGATGTCCCATCCATAGTCTCAGGTGTGAGTGACTATTTGTCTGTCAAGAGGAGTGTAAATCATTTCTCACTCTACACTGAGGGGTCAGCTGCAAGACCAGAGGTCCAGTCAGAGCAAGTGACCTATGAGAGTTGAATGGGTTTTAGGATGCTCAGAAGGTCTATAAACAACTGAATCAAAATTAAATTCCATGAGAAACTTCAAGGTTAAATGTAAGACAGATTAAAGTTGAAGATTCTGGTAACTAGACACCAGAGTATTCACACAGTATCAATAAACACTTTATGTTTTTTGTCTAAGTTCAATTTATTGGGTGAAACTTAACAATGGTTGTGAGAGTGCACTTACTCACATTTTCTATGAGACCAGTAATAACCTGTTAAAAAGGTGAGAGAATGATACTTCAAGAAAGCTGTAGAGCAATATTGATCATGGATTTTCAAGAACATGAAAAAGTTCTTGAAAATATTGGGAATTGAGTCAGGCAACACATTAAAATAATTACATATGATGATTAACTGGAATCTGTCCTAGAGTTGACTTAACATAAGAAAATAAGCACTGTAATATACCAATTAATGTAAAAAAATGAATTAATAATTTAAATAGATACATAAAACATACTGAGTTAAGTTTATTGTGCCAACCTGGCCGATAAACACATGTGGAGTTAATTGCAGGGAGGAGGGATAAATGGCTGTGAGTCTCGCCTTTCTAGTTCTTGGGCCTCTTGCTTTGTGATGGTTGGACCAGGGTGCAGCTGCCTTAGCCAGTTCCTTGCTTCAGCTGGCAAGGTTCACTTCCTGCAAGACATCCCTGAGCAGAAGCCACATGGACCTACCCCAATGCAGCCCTGGGTGCTGGAGCAGCCTTGTGGAGACCCCTGCCAGCGCTGAGATGTTTACACATTCACTGACTCGGCTTTCCTCCTGCAGTCGGC